GGGCAGCTCTATATTTGATGTATTTAAAAGATTAATGGTAGAATAAGAGATTATCAAAATAAAGTTTCCAAAAGATTATAAACTGAGCTGGTTTTTCTTGTTGTGTTGTTGCTGGACTAAGCATAGCACTTTCTAATGATAAGAATGGCTTTTAAAGTTAGACTCTAATCTTTTGGATTAAAGAATATCCAGCCCTGGCCAGTATGGGTTCGTTGGTTGAGAGTCCTCCTGTGCACCTAAAGGTTGCTGGTTTGATTCTGGGTCAAGGCACATGCCCAGGTTGCAGGCTCAATCCCCAGTAGGGGGCATGTAGGAGGCAGCCAATTGATGCACTCTCACATCGATTTTTCTCTCCCTTCCTCTCTCTCAAAAAAATCAATAAACTATTCTTTAAAAAAAAGAATATTCTGTAAATTGAAAAACCTCATCATCATATTTTGTTAATATGTAAATAACCAACAGATAGTTTTTGTATCTTTTTGGATTGTTTCACTGATGTTTCTTATAAATGAAATGCTCTCATCCTTCCAGAGCTCATCTGTGGCTGGTTAACATGGTGGGATCTTATGCTACATTTAATATATATATCTGTATATCTATATCTATCTAAATAAATAATATTTTATACATATACTAGAGGCCCAGCGCATGAAATTCGTGCAGTGGGGGGAGGGGAGAGGGGTTGTCCCTCAGCCCAGCCTGTGCCCTCTCACAGTCTGGGAGCCCTTGGGAAATGTTTGACTGACATATGGCTGCTGCACTCGCCAGCCATGAGCCCGGCTTCTGGCTGAGTGGCACGCCCCCTTTGGGAGCAAACTGACCACCAGGGGGCAGCTCTTGCATTCAGCATCTGACCCCTGGTGATCAGTGCAGGTCATAGAGAGCGGTTGAGCAGCCTTAGCATATCATTAGCATGTTACGCTTTGATTGGTTGAATGGATGACCGGACACTTAGCATATTAGGCTTTTATTATATAGAATATGTGTATTTTATTGATTTCAGAGAAGGGAGAGGGAGAGTGAGACTGGAACATCAATGATGGGAGAGAATCATTGATTGAGTGCCTCCTGCATGCCCCCTATTAGGGATCAATCCTGGAACCAGGTATATGCCGACCAGAAATGGAACTGTGACCTGGTTCATAGGTCGACACTCAACCACTGAGCCACACCAGCCGGGCTCACACTATGTTTATTTGACTAACACTTCTTTGATGTGTTAGTGAACTTTTCTACTTGTAAGGACTTATTAACCACTTTTTCAATCCTTACAGAATTCACTGTTAAAGAGAAGTCGTGTGGTTTTTTATTCTTTATTGATTAAGGTATTACATATGTGTCCTTATCCCCCGTTAACCCCCACCCCCCCACTCATGCCCTCACCCCCCTGGTGTCTGTGTCCATTGGTTAGGCTTATATGCATGCATACAAGTCCTTTGGTTGATCTCTTTCTATTTGTTTGTTTTTCAATACCATTATGTAATATTTGACGCACTCAACATGTTATGTAAGTTGTGAAACAAGATAAGGAAACAGAGACCTGCAAACCCACCTCAGAATGTGGCAAAGCTCTTTGAAGCTACCTGCATGCCTGTCCCTGATTGTGTCTCCTGACACAAGTGCAAGGCCACGGGCGTAAAGTTCCTGCAGCAGTGGTCTTTCCCTGTGCTGCGCTCTAGCACCACAGCGCATGCTGCAGAGTGACTGAGCAACCTTTTACTGGTAGAAGGGAGACTGTTGCCCCTTTTAAAAGCAGAGGGCGTAACTAGGATTCAGACACCAGGGTACGTTAGTCCATAAAATGAATATATATTTTTAATACATATACATTTTTTATTGATTTCAGAGAGGAAGGGAGAGGGAGAGAGATAGAAACATCAATGATGAGAGAGAATCATTAATCAGCTGCCTCCTGCACACCCCTTACTGGGATTGAGCCAGCAACCCAGGCATGTGCCCTTGGCCGGAATTGAATCTGGTACCCATTGAGCCAAACCAGTCAGAGCTGAATATATATTTTTATGTCATTTTTAAGGTATTGATTTTAGGTCCGTTAGATTCATAGTCACTAGTGGGAGAAAAAATGATTTAATGGGCAGGTTGGAACTCCAGAGGGAGAGCAGCAGTGATTATCCCCTTCTTCCTCAACTCCCTGCCCCTGTTATGTAATACTAGAGGCCCAGTGCATGAATTCATGCACCACTGAGGTCCCTCGGCCTGGCCTGCAGGATCAGGCCGAAACCAGCTCTCTGACATTCTCTGAGAGGTCCTGGATTGCAAGAGGGTGCAGGCGAGGCTGAGGGACCCAACTGGTGCATAATTGGGGCCGGGAAGAGACACAGGAGGCTAGCTGGGGAGGGACCGTGAGAGGGCTCTGGGGCGTGTTCTGCCCATCTCACTCAGTCCTGATTGGCCAGACCCCAGTAGCAAGCTAACCTACTGGTCGGAGTGTCTGCCCCCTGGTGGTCAGTGCACATCATAGCAACTGGTCTATTGGTCAACTGTCTGCCCTCTGATGGTCAGTGCATGTTAAAGCCAGCAGTTGAGCAGCCTTAGCATATCATCAGCATATTACACTTTGATTGGTTGAGCAGCCAACTGGTCGACTGGACACTTAGCATAGTAGGCTTTTATTATATAGGATCTTCAAGTAGCTGAGAAGAGAACTGAGGGGGGTGGCAGGGATAGGCAGTTTATCATCTGTCTTTACAAAGGATCACAAAACAAATTTCAACTGAATTATTACTGTGTCTCTAATTGTGATAGAACAGATTATTTTGATTTGATACGAGTTGCCAAGATTATTTTTTATAAGGTGGTTTTTAAGTTAATGAATATATTTTATTTTTATAAAACCCAGAGTTTTAAGATATTTTGTATTGAGATTATAGGATATTAAGGAATCAAGTTTATTTATTTATTTATTTTTTAAGAAAAGAGACCCTTTTCACAACTCTAAGAAAAGAAACTTCATCATGGTGCCTTTCTTAGTCAAGTTTTAAGTGGTATTAGTGAGAATGACCATCACCATAATTTTAAAAATAGGGTGTTTTCTGTTCCATAAATACATAGAAAATTATTGTTTTATACTAGTCTATTTCTTTTCCCTTTTTATCTTGCTTCTTTTTATGATAAGGGATGACTTAAATATCCTTTTACTTCTGTGTAAATTCTGATTTAGGGCACTAATAATAATTCTAGTCAATTTTACCCAAGTAATGTTGCTAGCACCTCAAATGAATTTTCTCTTAGGCTGCTTTGGAAGTTACATCTGTATTCTTATATATGAAAAAAACTAATTATAGTATAGGTTGGGAATTTTTTAAAATTCTAATTATATTTTTAATATTCTGACATGCTGATATGTTATAATTGAAGGAAAATATGCCTACTGAAATTTGACTATTTCAAAATTTGACCTCACATAAAGATTATGACATCAAACAAATTTTTTAGAATTTTATATTTTAACTCAAGTTTTTTGAGTTCTTTGACAAAAAATATATATACATACAGGCTCCCTCTTGTGGGTAAAATTACCACCTGTGTATCTCTGTGTTGCCCAAATATAGAATATGGCACAATTTGTCTGTTTTGCTTTTAAGTAAATTCTGTGGTAGTCAGATGTGACATTTCACTTAACTGGGAAAAAAAGGAGTAGAGTTTGGTGTATATTTTGAAGCGACATTTTTTTTTAAAATATATTTTATTGATGTTTTACAGAGAGGAAGGGAGAGAGATAGAGAGTTAGAAACATCGATGAGAGAGAAACATCGATCAGCTGCCTCCTGCACATCTCCTATTGGGGATGTGCCCGCAACCCAAGTACATGCCCTTGACCGGATCGAACCTGGGACCTTTCAGTCCGCAGGCCGACGCTCTGTCCACTGAGCCAAACCGGTTTCGGCTTGAAGCAACATTTTTAAAGAAAAGAAATAATTATTTTAAAATGGCAGACAACCTTTATTTTATTGCAACAGCATAATTCCTGAAGTTCAAAAATTTTAATAACTTTTGTCATTTTGGAAAATCTCTAATGGAGTAATTCATGAACTAATGAAATAATATGCAGTCTTCACTTTGTCTACGAGGGGACTTTAGGATTTTTGTCAATATTGTTAAGAGTTCTGAGGGTGGAATGAAGTAAAATTCCTCCCTACCAATCATGCTCCAGACAGATACTCTATGGTAATAAGACATCACAAATTCCATAAGCCTTGTGGTCAAAACTGAACAATCAGGGGTGAAAGATGAATGAACACTGAAACAGTACTCAGTTCTCCATGAACTGAACTGACAGGAAAGAGACGGAGCTAGAACTGATGCTGTGGCTGCCACCATATGCATGTTCCCTACTTTCAGAAGTCTGATGCTTGGGAATTTCAATTGATTGCCAAGGGCCATTTCTGTCCAGTCTGAGGAAATTGGTAGCAAAGCCAGAGTTTTATTCATTCCTGAAAGTGGCAAGCGCATTGTTTCTGAGGTTGAGCTGGTCATTCATAGAGATATCTGGAGTAAGGGATGTGAATGTAGAGGTAGTTGGGTGACTCCCACAAAACAATTACAAGCTGACCATCACTGTCATATGTTTGAATGGAATCAAATAAGGGACCTATGAGGATACCTGAAGATAGCTCGTAAATCATTTCAAGAAATAAGAATTTTCCTGTCCTAAAGTATCTGCAGGATGTTTACATGAAAATTAGCCAAAATGAACAGCTTCTAAGGGAATTAACATATTTATACATATGAATATAACATAACTTATATTCATATACATTTTTAGATTAACTCTGGTGGCATTACAATGCCAAATTAATGCCTTTTTTCATAAACAATGACTTTATTATAATTATTATATATTTCTATAAATTTACATATGTATATATTAATACATTGTTTGAAAAGCTTAGCTCCCTCCTGCTTCCACAAGTCTTATGTTGATAGATTTACTAAAAAAGAAATGTGCATTGTTAATTGTTTTATTTTATTTTTTCTAGCATTCCTTTTGCTGATGACACGATTCCTGTTTGAATCTGTTTACAAGATTCTGAAAGCTGAACAGAGAATTTTGGCACTGCACTGGGCAGGAAAAAGGTACATTCATAAAAAACATAATACACACCTTTGATAAATCAATTACTACATTTGCTTACTTCACAACAATGGAAGTTTATGTGCCTTCTCTTATTTTTAATTTATAAGTAAAATTTATGACAGCTGCATATAAAACTATAGTACATATTTCTTTTAAATATTCAGATGACAACTAGATATGTAATTATGATTTTGAAACATTACATTATAAAGGTAATGTCCCTAAACTGGCAGATGATAGCAGCAGCATTTTCATTTTCTTAATGAGAGACACGTTTTCTTAAAGTTGCAAAAGCTTTTTATTTCCATTAATGAATGTGTTTTAAAACAGTTGATAATTTGTTGTTGTTGCTGCAAAGGAAATATTTAGAGTCACAATGAGTAGATCACACATTTTACAAAATTTTCCATAGTCTACTAAATATTCTAGGGTATGCTTTCATAAACACATACAGAAGTGCAATTTTGCCAAGGCCCATTCCAATTCATTTGTGGGCATCTATCTGTGCAGGAATTTATGAAACTCTTGTTTGTTTGTTTTTAAAAAAGTAATACTCTTGGAAATAGGAACTGAAGGTTTCACCACAGACCAACAGTTGAAAATCCTTTTCTAATCTGTGGCTGACTGACTGTCTTGGGGTGGCCTCAGAAAAGTTTGGAGATAAGTGATCCTGTTGTTGTGAAGAGGTTCATAGGATGGAAAAGGCATTCTCTTTCGAGGCCTAAAAAGAATGAGAAAAAAGTGGTCTTCTTGCAAAGTGAACTAAAACTTACTTGTTTACTAATCCATACTTAACATCTTGAGACTAAAACTTCAAGTTACACATTTATTTGTGAAAGCCCTTAGAAACAACAGTGGTTTTTACCTTCTTTAAAAACTAAATTATTACAAATCTAAATAATATTTTTAAATTTATAAATAAAGCTTCATGTAGTCACAGACAAATGAAATCTAATATGCAGGAAGGAGTGGTGAGTAATGGATTTTATGCTAATAGAAGTGGAACAAGTCACAAATGAATACTGCAAACGTAAAACTTCTATAATTTTACTAGTGAAACTACCAGTGCAAGTAAAAGTAAAAGACAAACCACAAACTGGCCTGCTGCTAATAAATATGAAAAACATTACTGTTATATTATAACTGTTATATTATAAGAAAGACACTAACATAATTTTAAAAATAACTGTTATAAGAAAGACACTAACATAATTTTAAAAATAAGATATAAGAACAAATGATTACTGAGGAATTTAATTTGAATATAAAAAACTAAACAAAAGAAATGCAAGTTACTATCCATCTAGTAAAGAGTTACTATCACTTATTATCTAACTAGTAAAAAAGTAGTTTAGAATGACAGTGCTGGAACCAGAATGTGGGGAGATAGGTGCTTTCAGTAATGTTGGAAAAAGGTTATATTTGCTCAACTTTCCAGGAAGTAATTTAGCCATCTCTGTGAAGAGCCTTACATGTTTCTAAAGCATTCTATGCAACATTTCTACTCTGTTCCTTTGAAGCGCATTTGATTGCAAGTAATCTGAAATAGTTTTAAAATGATAGAACTCGATATGTCATTGATGTGAAGTCTGTGTAGGCAGTTCAGAGTGGTTGGATGGCTCCACAGTCCTCAGGGGCCCAGATCCTTCATCTTTTACTCTGAACATATGGCTTTACCTAATGTCTTAGAATACCTAGTATTGGCATACCTGCCTTCATATTCATATTCCATTTACAGCGAGGGAATATTTCTAGGAGAAGATCATGCTTTCTCCCTTTAAGGATGTCTTCTGAAAGATTCCACATTCCTTCCACTTACATTCCCTTGACTAGAACAGAATCACATGGCCGTGCCACACTGCAAGAGAGGCTGGAAAATGTAGTTTTTGTCTTGCAATATAAATGTGGAGTGGTTATTAAGTGGAATAATAAGAGAACAGATATTAGGGCCTAAGTAACAGTGTCTGGCAATTTCACTTCCAAGAAACTTAACTTAATGAAATAATTAAAGGTGTTAACATTTAGTATGTAAATATGTTAATTTTCATATATTTATAATGGGAATAATTTAAGGTTGATTAAACTGCCCAACAGTGATTAGATAAATTTGAGCACTTTCATGTTATAGGATATTATACAGTTCTGACTAAGAATTTTGTATAAGTATTTTAAAAAGTATTCTCTTACTTTAGAATAGCGATTTTCAACATTTTCATTTGATGGCACACATAAACTAATTACCAAAATTTTGCAGTGCATATCAAAACATAAATTTCTTGCAGATCTGACAAAAAAATAGGTATACTTTTGATTCATTTGTACCAGATAGCTATTGTTGTGTTGGCTGCTGTCATTTTTTTTTATTTGACAATCTAAAGAATGAGGTATTCCATGTCTTAAGAATTCTTATGGCACACCAGCTAAAAAACACTGCTTTAGAATATTAAAGGAGTGAGAAATTAGGTTAAAGCTATGTGAAAAATCACAATGAGGTAGCAATCTGTGAGGAATTTTTTGCAGACATTAGAGTGAGAGCATTTTACCCCTGAAACTAAGCTGACTTTAATCTTCGTAACTTGTAAGAGAAACATAATGTTGAGGAGCATAGGTGTTGGAGGCGCACTGTTTGGGTTCAGTGCCACTTAATGTCTGTCTATTGTTGGGTATATTCCTTAAGCACTGATTCCTCATCTGTATGACCTAAATAATAAAGGAATACACCGTATCATGCAAATAACTTATCATGTAAACACTAATGCCTACAAAAGAGATTTTAAAGCCCCAAAATGTACTGAAGATAATCAATTTATAAATTATTAAAGTTTCAATTTAATAGGAAGATAGAATAATTTTAAATCTAAATGCCCCTAATAACATAAACTTAAAAATTATTAAGGAAACAGATCTATAATAACAGTGATAGTATCACACTTCTCTCAGCTACAGATGGGATAAATGGATAGAGAAAGTTAGTAAGGATGTAGAGTTGAAAGACAAGATTAAGAAATGACCTGATAGACATATATACAATCTTGCATACATTTACAAAATTCACCTTATTTTGAAGAACACATGGAACAGTTATAAACATTAATGGTACACTGTCATATATTAGTTCTCAGCCATTTCAAAGACTTGGAATCATGATTAAATTAAGCTTCAAATAAATAACAAACATATAGCTAGAAAAAGTTTCAAAATTAAAAAGAAATCACAATAGAAATTATAAATATTTTAGACTAAACAAAAGTGAACACTCTATGTGTATCAATTGTATAATGCCTGTAAGATGTATTTACTGGGAAAATTATGCCTTAAATAAATGCATTAGAAAAACAGAGTAAAATTATTAGTCCAAGAATTAATTTCAAAAAGACCAAAAAAATAAACTTAAAAGTAGCAGAAGGAAGAAATTGAAGTAAGAGAAAACTTAATGAAGTGAAAGAGAGGACAAAGAAAGTGAAACATCGATTGCTGCCAATGATGAATAAGTTTTCCAAAGCTCTGATGAGATTGAGCAAGAGAGCAAATGGCAAGGGGCAAATAACCATTATCAGGGATGACAAAGGCAACATCACAACAGCCAATATAGTAAAGCAAAGTAAAGAAATAAAGTTAATGGGCTTGAGAACCAACCAACCACTTGTCATTATTGGCAAATGATATGAGTTAGTAAGAGAATTTAGTAAAGTTGATGCATATACTGAAATCAACTATATTTCTATGTATCAGTATCAATTTTTATCTAGTATACAGTAATAAGAGATGTGCAGAACCTCTATGGGAAAAATTGTGAAACTATTAAGAAATATTTTCAGGGTTGGATTAAATGATGAGATAAACCATGTTTATATACTGAAAGATTCAGTAGTGTAGAGATGTATGTCCCTTACTCCCAAATTGATTTGTAAGTACAATGTAATCACAATCAAAATGCCAGCGGGTTGTTTTGTGTTTGTTTCTTTGTTATTTGTTTGGATAGATTTTTTATTTTTATTTTATTTTTGTGTGTGTGTGTGTGTGATGTGACAAGTTGATTCTGAAATGCAAAAGGCAAAGAATAGTCAAGACAAAAAAAGAAAGACTGGGTGGGAGTACTTGCCCTGCCAATATTATATAGCTCTCATAATTCAGTAAGTGTGGCATTACTGCAGGGGTAGGTAAGTAGACAAATGAGAAAGAACAGAGAGCTCAGAAACCTCATGGACATGTGGACATTTTATTTATAATAAAGGTGGTACTTAAAAGCAGTAGAGAAATAACAGACTTTTAAATGCACAATACTGGGAAATGTGATTGTAATGAGAAAAAATTAAATTGGATCTCAACCTCATATTACACACACACACATACACACACACCCCAAAAAATTAGTTTGCCGGGAGCCGGTCCATTCTTGCTGTTTCAAAGGACCTGGCATATATGGCATACTGTTCTTAAAATGTTTGCTCACCTTCTTGGCACTATGTGTTTTAACCAAGGTCTCTGAGAAAGGTTGTTTCCCCAGGTAGGGATTTTCCCCTGAAGTTAGGGAGGGAATAAAACCTCTTAACTAAGTGCCAGGCGGGTAATTAATCACTTTAACTATGAACAATCATGCTTAAGCTACATAATCTTTACTCCCTGGAATGGAGATAAGAAACGCCCTAACCTTTGTAATAGAGATTGATAGGATTGAATCAACTGGTATAAATACAGATGTAACTAGACAGCAAGAGACAGAACTTAGAATACAGAGCTTAGAACACAGAACTAAGAAGACAGAACCTACACAGAACCTACAGACAGAAGAACTTCGCCGGAGAGAACATGGCAAAAGATCCTGGACAGAAACTGGCCTCAGAACCTAGAGACAGAACCTAGCGAGAGAACATGGCAAAAGATCCTGGACTGAACCTGACTACAGAAATTGGCAAGAGAACCTGACTAGAACCTTGTGACTGAACCTGGCTGGAGAACCTGGGCAGAAACTGGCTGGAGAACCTAGCAAGACAACATG